ACGATCGACTAGTAAGAGGAGCAGAATCCAATCGATTCGTCCTGCGAGCTCTCATGTTTTTTTTTTTAAAAAAAAAATTGGTCAAGCAATAAAAATCCAACTTCAGTTCGCCTCATTCAACAACACCATTTCCACCAATCATCACCAAATCAGTCAACAAAATACATTCATGTACGGCTGACAAGTAAAAGGCTCAAAGCTCAAACGGGCTACTAGGGAAAATAACGTGTAGGATCAAAGAACAAGGCTAAAAAGAGCTAATCAAACAAAACGCCTCAATCATATTCGCAATTTCAAACTCTAATTGATTTCTTTCAAACAAACTCAAGGCAAGTTCTAATCATTCAAGAATATGACCAATATCTCACAAGAAAGAAAGAGAAAGGACCAAAACCTCACAAGGCAAATAGATGTCATTCAAAGTAATCAATCAAATACCGAGGCAATGACCACACGTCCGTTATCACAACTTCTCAATTTCATCAAACATTCATCAACCATTCATATAATTTACCAATACCATGCCTAACAAAACAAAAACTAAAGCTAGACCGGTACACCATATAAACATGCAAGATCCAACTAGACTCCTCCACACTTAAAATGAGGCAATGACCTCATTGCTTCAACATAAAACCAAGAAGTCAAGTAAAGGACCTAACAATTTCACATAATGAACCAAACTAGCAGCTTACCCAAGACACAAACTCAAAAAAAAAAAAAGACGAGAGAAAGAGAACTCAAAAAGAGAAAATAAGAAAAGGGTGTACAAACCGAGATGCCTCGAGGAGACTAATCATCCACGTGCGAGCCATTCGCTCACGCTCAGCTCAGAACCTCGATACTCCTCCTGCTCGTGCTCATAAATGGTACCTGCAGAGAAAAATCACGAAACTCCAAACTCCCATTATTCCAAGATAAAACTAAAAAGCAGAAAGAAAAATATTTAAGAAAACAGTAAATCACTTGGGTTGCCTCCCAAGAAGCGTTTGTTTAACGTTATTAGCTTGACGAAACCTGAGAGGAACTCAACCGGGATCTAGGAAGAAGTGGCTGTCGTGCCATGCCTTCGTGTTTTCTAGAAGTCGTAGCATGGGAAGCTTAGCGAGAAGGCTGGCATAGTGGATTTGGGTGGCGATGTTCTTCTTGAAGTGGGCTCGGGCACGAGCAATCCCCAACTCTAAACGCAGAGCTTTTTCCACACGAGCTCTGTCGTCGACCTCTGGAAGTATAAGCTCATCTGTGGAGCAAGTCGAACTGAATAGTCCCCACTTCGTAACATAGTGTAACGGCTTCAAATAAGGATGCTCCAACTCGGATGCGGGGGAAGGGACTTGAGAATCAAGCCCGTGAGTCTCCTCATCTGAAATAACGTCGACG